AGTATGAGGTTCTTGGGGTTTGTCATGCCTTCTTAAGGATGGATTGGTGTCCTAAATGGATAGTGCACTCATAAAAGAATTGAAGGAACTGTCACACTGAAGGTCGAATGTTTGTTGCTTGTTTTTGATTCATATGTATCATTTTTCCAAAAGTAGGACTGTCTTGGTGGAGAAAGTCCTGTGTCCTTGAGTTTTGGGTTTTTAAAAGTTCCATATCACCAATCAGATGTTCTAGTTGGTTGTGATCCCCTCTTCCCCTTTTTTTGATTGGCCCTTAGTTTGTTACTGGAGCTATTCAGGACTGAATTTGAAAATCAGACACTGGTCGAAAATGTTTATTTAATTGTTGCTATTTCCACCTGTAAATCAAAGTTAAGTGTTTTTACTCCAGTTATAAATATTTCCAGCTGGTCTTGCATGACATTTGGTTTCATTAAACATTTTATTTTGTTGTTTTCGTATTGTTAGAGAAAAGGTCAAATTCCTGTTTGACACTTTCTCACAAAATGTTTTACCAACCAAGAACTTTTTATATAAAACAATTTTCAAAATTTTCTTTTCAACACTAGTTATGTAAATGAATCAAACACTTCCAAACCTTTATATGGAACTAGTTAAGAATTTTAATTAAATATGTTAAAGGCAAATGTTTTCAATCTAAGATCTGTTTCAGGTCATTTTTTGTTCTCTATTCGATATTGGAATATTTGAAAAAATGATAAGATATGAATTTTTTTTATAAGGTAATATTTGGAAATTGTCTGAGGACATTACATTTAAGAAATTCTATTCAAAATTTATGTAATAGCTGCAGATGCAGATGTATAATGGTAAAGGTCAAATATTAATATTCATGTATTTATGATTTTATGATTACTTTCCATGAGTTGGATTAGGATTGTTTTAATATGCTTGACATGAGATGTTTTTTCTTCCTGAAATTGATGCATTTCCCTTTCTTGTCAGCTTTAAAAATTTCTAAAGCCTCTATTGTTTTAATCTTGCTTGTTTTTAACATATTTAATTAAATTTATTAACTGTTCATATATAAAGGTTTTGAAGTGTTTAAAACAATTTTCTCTTTTAAAACAAATTTTGTTTAAGATTTTGGACATCTGTTGAGACTTCACAGTATTAAGCATTTTATTGGGGACAGTAATCTCATGCTATTAATATATTGTATAATGTATTTAATCATTGTAAANTTGATGTATTAGTGAAGAAAACTACTTCAAATATATCGTTTTTATTTATTCGTAACGAAAAACAGAAAGTCTCCCGTTTTTAGAAATTTTTCAAAAAAAATTGGTCGACTTCAAGAGTGTATTTTACAAACTGTAAACAAGTCTGATGCTATCTAAGTTGTCAATCGTCTTCCTGTATGTGTTTTTTAACTGTTACAACAATTAAATTCTTTGTACCAAACCCCGGGCCAAAAATATCTCAATATTTCCAAAAAAACACCATGTGAAATCACACAGCAAGTAGAGGTAAAAATGGAGATTATTGGCAGATAACATCGATAGTAAACTTCTTTTGCACTGTAATTGGTTAATTTATATGTCTGTTATTAGATCGACCTATAAAAACAATTGCTGGAAATATTCCCGCGAAATGCCACGCCGCCGAAGGCCACCACATGGAAGTATGTAAACAATCGCTATAAAATCGCGTGTTTTAATTTTTTTTTCCACTTCTAATTTGCTAATAATAAGTCGCTTGACATTATATAGAAGAATAAACATGTTTTCAACACCATTTAGCAATAAATATCGCTAAAAAACGCCACTTTTCAAACTGTCAATGTTAAGTCTATGGGAAACTTTTTTGCCTTTTATTGGCTTTAAAAATCCTGTTTTTACGCCTTTTATGCTGTCATTGGTCATTTCTATGATGACTGACTCGATATCAACCAATAAGCGTTTTCTGAAAATAGCAAAACAAATCCACCCACCTCCGATAGTCGCGCGAAAAAAATTACATGGTTAGTCGCGCGGGGTACTACAGCACCCCACTGATTTCCATTGTAAGTCTATGCAAAAAATTTTTTTCGTGCAAATTTGAAATTTTTTCGGTGCAATCTTCACACCATGGAAGGAAGGTACTGAGGGCATCATTTTTAAGCACTAAAAATTTTAAAAAATACACGCGTTTAAACTCGCCGGGGTTCTACATCACCCCGCGCGCCTAACCGTGGGTTTTAACAAGATCTTTTAATATTCCTTGTCGTAAATTTACTTGAGATGTTCATTTTTTCAAAGACGATAAAGATGGCAAAGGATAATGCAGTTTATTTTTTAAATATAAGTAACATTTCTTGCTGCAATACCTTAATGTAGAGGCTATTGACACATCTTGTGTTTCAGTTAACTCGTTTTTTTCTTTTTTGATAGTAAAGAAATTTGATTTTTGCAAAGACCTGTGTCACAAATCTGTAGTTATCTGGTTTGATTTTTGTAGATTTGGACGACAGATATTTCTTCTTTTGTAATATCGTAATAAATCGTTTGCTACTTTATTCTTTTCTTATAATCTACTTTCAATTTTTCATATTCTGATTTTAAAACATTATATTCTTCTAACAGCTTCTTATATTTAATTTCGTAATGGTATTCATCTTGAAGATTGTTACTATTGTCATTATTATTTGTTAAAGAATCATTAACCTATTTTTGCTTTCTTTTTGAATTTCTTTTTCCTTCTGTAACTGTTGGGTTCATTCTATTCGGTAAATTTAATGTATGGCAACTGTTTTCTTCAGAATCTTTCTAACTGGTAAACCTGAAATAGAAAATATTCTGCAATTTTATACTAAAACAAGCAAATTAAACATTCACGCGCAAAAACAAGTAATATATATGAATGTACTGATGACTTAACCAACAATTCATTTTTTAAATCTTTTTATAATCACCTTGAACAAAATGAACAGAACATATTTTACTTGTATCTGGATTAAATTTATCGTCTCTTTAGCAACGGTTAATCCATTCAGACTTAATGCTTTTAGAAATTAAGTCTTTTTGTTTAAGAAACTAGGAAACACATGAAACGTTACACTTTCTCCTTTAGCTTTTACTGCAACAAGGTTATTATTGCAACCATACACAGCACACCTCGTACCCGGCATTTTGTTCTTCACGTGACAAAAATATAGCTTTAAATATTTAATGACTTATATTTAAATCATCTTACCTTAAAAGCAACTTAGTCAAATAAACAATTACAGAAATATTAAAATAAATCACTTCGTTAATTACAAAATTGGACGAATATTTAATTAAGTGAAAACTAAACACGTGTACACGCTGCTATAGGTAAACAAAGCGTCAGGTCTCGTGCTGACATCACTAACTTCGCATTCCTGGCTAACATTGTAGAATAAGGATCTGACTATCCTTGTAGTATATAGTCCTTGGACTTTGGTGGCCCGTCCGTTACGGGACTATGTCTCCCCGGGAAAGGTCAGGTTACGCCACGTTTCTTTATGTAGCGAGTGTAGCGAAAAATGACATCACGAGCAGCTATCGCTACACGCCTCTGCATTATAATTTAGAAATAGTCCCTGAACACTGGGAGTTCGATCGTGGGTTCGCGGGCTAACCACGTGGAAGTTATTGGGTAGTTTTCTCTACGTCTTAACGCCTAAATAGAAGCCAGTTACCCTTAAACGACCTCCCGAAGGCATCCCCTAGGCAGATTGCCCAAGTGTTGCTTACCGTAACTAACAAAACAAACTGAAGCTCAACCTCTTCTTCTTCCCCTTGTCCGACTTTTATCCGACTCGTCGTAATCCTCTTTCTTCCTTCCAGTGAGCACATTCCACTGGAAGAAAGAAACAGGATTACCACCAGTCGGGTGGACAGCCCCTTTAAGGTGACAGACCGCTCCGAGCAAATTGCCACCTTTTCAAAATTGCGGACATTTTTAAATTAAGATGTTATACTGAGGCATGCGCAATGCCATTTTATAGCCAAGAACTGAACAATGCACATGCCAGTTTTAAACCAGTTAGGGACTTGTGTTGGAACAAACCTAATATTTGCAAAATAATCGCAAATATTTTTACAAATTTATTTTGTTTTATCATAATTTCACAATTTCTACAAAAACTGGATAAATTAATAATTAATTCGTACCATGAATTTAAAAACCGACTTGTCCGTATGAAAACCGGCCTGGTGGCAACACTAGTTCCGAGAGATCCGGAATCGAATACGGTCGGGACAAAATACCTCAATAATTTTCGAAGGTCCGTTCCCGTCCGACACCACCCGGACGGGAACGGACTTCACTACTGTGAGCCTGATGTTAAAACCCATAATGGCCCTCATAGTACCCATAGGGCGGAAAGATTAAAAAAGTATTCCTAAAAACACTAGGTTATTTTTCAAATTTCCCTCCAAACACTCAAAAGCCTCCAAAATTTAGGAGAAAAACCCCAAGTTGATAACAGCGGCTGTGTAAAATTAGTTGGTCTAACGACTCTGGTCGTGGTAAGGCGTCAGCCTATAGCTATCTGGCTTTCTATATAAGTTATTATTATTCAAGCAGCTAGGAATAAAAATGCATAATAAAAACTGAAGGAAAATATCTAAAATGTATATAATATCTAGTTTATAGGTACGGTACATAAATAAAGAGATAAGAAAGAAAGAAAGAAACTATCGAGACTCAACTAAATTCGTTTACACAGAGCGCGTAGCCTAGCAAAGTAATTTTAATACAGTTGATAAGCAAAAACCAAATAAACATGTTTCATTTGAAATGGACTATCGCTGGCTTGCTTATACATTTGTATTAAAGCCTCTTTATTCTCATTTAATGTCTTTTTTTCAATTTTCCATTAAAACTGATATCGAAATTAAGACGAATTAAGAAAGAAATCGAATATTAGATAACAATTTTTAATTATTAAATATTGAATTATTATTAGTCGTAAAATAATTAAGATTATAGAATTAATTTATGAAAATAAAGTTCTCAAGAAATGGTGTTTCAGAAATCGACCAATCAGAAGCGATGCTTACTGTTGATTAAATCATAAACGAAGTCTCGTGTTTATGTTTAGAATGGTTCTTATTATGTGAATTCGGAGTTTCATGACGACTAAAAATTGTTTTACAATGAAAGCGGAATTATTAATGAATCCCTGCATACAAGTAAAACCTCGACAGCCTATACATGAAGCGAATATGCCGAAAAGTAACAGAGAAAACGATATTTGTTTACAAAAAACTCCGAACAACAATCAGTCTGGTACTACATCCGACGATAATTTACAGCAGCAAGTCCGTCGTTTGAGAGAAATGGTTATTTTACAATTGGATTTGATTCATCATCAACAAGAACAATTAATGAAAAAAGAAAAACAGTTACAAATTATGAGAAAGGAAAAACAAGCAGTAAGTTATTTACTCGATTTCATCCGTGTATTTGATCATCTGTATAAAATCTATAATTATAATACAGTTGAAATATATATTATATTATATTAAATAAAAGAAATCTTTATATTGCTTTCGTATAAAGTAATAAAAGAATAATAATGTAATCAAATAAAAGCAATGCTTCTGATACACGTGCCGCAAAGTAAGGATTTTTTTTTTTTAATAAAATTTTCACAAAACCAGTCGAAATGTAAAGGATATTATACGAGTTTGTATGTTACACGTATAGATACAATATAACTAATTTGACTTATGAACATGAATGATTCAGAAAGGTTGGCAATGTTTTGATTCATTCAAATTATCCAAACAAAAACATGTGTTTGTTCAAATTTATTCATTATTTTTCGTTCAGATAATAAACAATTTTGCTTTAATTGCATAATTCATTTATTTAGTTTTAAACTTGTATATTCTGTATTATATTATCTTCATTTAAAAATTATAAACAAATTTCACTCAAAAAATAAATTTTTTTAGTTAATTTACGTATGATAATGTAATATAATTTTTTGATACAATAAAAAAATTTTAATTTTTTATATAAAGAAATGAATTCATATTATATTTCATATTTACAAAATTCAATAGTTTTTTGTTCTTATTTTCTTTAATCTGATCTTACTATGATTCACATCTATATGAATGGAGAAAGTATCAGTTAAATGACCTATCATGTAAATTAGTTAATGATTAATTATTGATTAGTACTTCAGTTGGGTATTCATTAATTAACAGTATTTCAAATATTTGTTGGTTTGTAGTAAAAAATTTAATTTGAATGATAACTTTAAAGTAAAATATAATCAATAATAATTGATTGTATTGAAATTTTCAATATCAGCAAATTTTATGATTTCTTCATATACAATCAATCAATCAATTTATCTATCTATATCAGTAATCTTTATACTAAAAATCAATGGAACTCTTTTTACTAATTTGATTTTTCAGAATTGTATAGTGAAAGTGACAACTAGATATAAAAAATTAAATTCACGCAACTTTAAATATTATTCCTTAATTTTTTTCTATTTCTAATCATAAAATATCAAATATAAATGTCCAGAAAAAATTAACTTCTAAACCTAAAAATTTTAGCATTTTTTCAACATGATTGCTATATATTTTCATCTATAGACAGGAAATGAGATGATTATTTTAAGATATAAAATTATTTTTTTATTATATATTTTGACTTTATTAAGATCTACTTCTGTTTTTAAAACAAAGATTTTTGTTAATAATTAATATTTTTAAATATTATAATTTGTAATGCAATTTTTAAGTACAAACATACTTTGCTTTAAGTGAAGAGTGTCTCACTAATATGTGCTTTTCAATTTATTTTCATTGCTTGCCTTTTACTTTTGGGATATTTTTATTTATTTTTGGTCTAGTGCCAGTACGTAGGTTATATACATTACATAGGTGCATATAAAAGCCTGTTGGCTTTTATATGTACTGACAAATGAAAATGCTTGCGATTTACTTTAAGATGGGTCTGGAACCCAATTTGCTGTATTAGCAAGACATGCCTATACAATAACAAACTTACCAATTTTTTGGTTCTGAGAAATTTTTCTTTATAATTTAAAAAATATCTTGTATAGTGAAGAGTATATTTTAGAATTCATATGATCCTCAAAATTGAGTCTTTAAATTTTAAATGATTAAAATTTAGTTTTCTACATTTAGTTTTTATGAATGTAACATAGTTGAAAAGCAGTCCTTGATTTTAAAATCTCTCGAAGTTTATATAGTTATATTAAATTAATACTCATACATTGGTATATATATAATTTCTTTAATATAACACTTTAAACTTTACATTGAAATATTTTTAATTTTTATTTTTACATATAGAACAATGCCATAGTACAGTTAACTTTACCTCTAGTACCAAAATACTTAATATCTAATCATTAGTAATAACAAATATATAGCTCAATTTGTTCATTTGGTTGAATACAGTATTTAATTTTACATTATTAGTAAAGTTAATGAAATTATTCTTTTTACATATTCAATATATAAATGTCTTTATACTACTAACATTTATACTGTAAGTAGCATTTTTTCATTCAAGATTTTTAATAAATTTTTATTTACTTTAATCATTTTCTTGACAGTAGAAAAATAATAATAGATTTATTATATTTTAGTGTTATTGCAGTCTTATATTTAAAAAATTTTTTTTTCAATCTTTAATACAAAAATTAATAGTTTTTCTTTTGGGCCCTTTTAGACTGATATGTAATGATATCAACTTGAAAGAAAGGTCTAAAAGAAAGAATGAAAATTTTAATTTTACTAAATATCAAAATCCATTGAATTTTATAATTACGGGATAATTTTTGTCAGTGTGTCCTTTTGATAAAACCTTTAATGATTTTAGATACCTGTGTAAAGCAGACTTGAACAGTACTGAATTTTTTCTATTTTGACATGTTTCTGTTTTGAACAGGTTTTAGTATATTTTTTCTTTATTTAATCTTTAAACTAGAGATGGGCAAATATCACTTTTCTCAAATTCAAACATTAACTAAATCTAGAATATTTGAATATCTCAAATATAGTGGATGATCAGTCAACGAACATAATCCATTCCAAGACTATTTCACTATCTGAATTGTTTGTTAATTGATTTTCAATTTACCATAGATTTTTGTAGGAATTTGATTAATTTGTTCTGGAGATCCACAAAAATAATTAATTATATACTTTCTTACTATGTTTATTTACATGTAATAACAAACTAAAAGCAATCTCTTCATTTTTTCATGGATGGCACATTTTTGTTTCTCAGATGTGATTTTCGTACTCCTTTATCAGCTTGAGTCTTTTTGATTATATCTTTCTTAGCTAAGATTTATCTACTGTGGACCTGTTTAAGTCATATGCCTACAATATCAGACATCTTCTGCCCACTCTCTACCTTGGCTATTATCTCTTGCTTAGTTTCTATACTGAACACAGCTTTTGACAGTCTACTCTTTTTAGACCCCATAATAATATCAGTTTTTTAAATAAAAGGTTCAGAAAAGCACTTTAAAAAATTCAGAGAACAGAAATTAACTAGTGCAAAAAAGGTTTTGTATACAACTGTGAAAGTCTCGTTCCATAAACCATGTATAGATGCAATTAAAATACAGTTTTACAAATCTTAAACACGGTGTCACTTTTTGTGTTTGTTCTATGAGGTGTTTGTTATCCAAACATGTATTTGTTGTCTGAACATAAAAATTTTTTGTGAAAGTGTTCATTGTCCGATTTGTTCACTATCCAAACTGTTCATTAACCGATCACTCACTGTACTTGAATATTCTGAATACTTAGTGAACTTAATTACCTTATACAGTAATACCCCAAACTTATGCAATAGGTGGGACCGAGCAGTAACCGCGTAAGTCAAATTCGCGTAAGTCGGGGTATAATTTCGCAATTTGTGTAAAATCCAAATCGGATGTATGTAAGCTAATAAATGTTCTCGTTAATCTTATCTCGTCTTTTGATTTGTTCACGGTTACAAGAAATCACCACATAGAGTCTCTCAAGTCTCCGTAGATATAACAAACACAGAAATAAATAACACAAAATAAATTGTAGCTATGTGTCGATTCCGCGCGACACGTCTGAACATATAAGCTGAACAATAGTGTGGAGGGAGTGAGTAATCAAGGGTTGCGTGGCGCTCAAACAAAAGACGAATTGACGAGATTTGAAAATCGCGTAACTCCGGGTTCACATAAGTCAAGGTATTACTGTATAACTTTAGTTAATATTTATGTAATACTTATTATTTAACTTGTTTTATTTATTTAAATATACAATATTAATAAAGTAAAACTAAAAATAAAAAGAAAAACAATTTACTAAAATTTAAGAATGAAACTTCAAATTTTTGATTTTGAGTTTTAAAATAGCTTTTTTTAGGCACTCTTTTCTCAACTACAATAGATTAACAATTAATTGTTCTCATTCTTACCTACTGCAGATTTTTATTTAAGTAAACAATTTGAAAACATTCAGGATCTAATCTGTTTCTTTTTCTCGTCAGAAATTAAACCAGAGGTGCTGAGAAGGCATTGTCTGTACGCAGTGATGGATACAAGAAAATACCATTGACACACAAAAAAATTAACTCGAAATGTATTTGTTCAAACTTTAAAACATTGTATTTAAAAACATTTAAGATTGCAAATATGGTTTATTGGACTGTCCACAATACAATTGTTGTGCACATGTTAATAAAAGGTAGTTATTAATTATTGAAATATTTTTAATTTTTGAGTTACCCACCCCTTTGATTAATTCTGGATCTACTGCTGTGACTGTTCATATGGTGTGTTATTGGAGGCATTTCTAGTATTTTAATTTATTATTTTTTATCAATGTAATATTTGAGATTTAGAATCTCAAATTACTTTCTAGCATTCAAATATTTGCAGATAGTATTCTCCAATCTTAATTTAAATTATCATTGGATAACCATTGGATGGTTATATCTAAAGTTTAAATGTCTGGAAGGAAAGAGTTGCTCATATGTCCAGGAGGCATAACTGGTCAGTGCACTGCACAGTAAGGCCAATAACACATATGCGTAAAATTGTGTGGCAGAAAACTGAATCAGAAATCAGCTTTCAGTTCAGTTTCTGTTTTATGCTTTTATGCCAGAACACACATATGTAAAACTTCTGGCCAAATAGGAAACATCACTGCCACTAACAGTATTAATTTTATTAATTTTTTTCCTCTCATATATCTATCTCTTTGTACCTCCCATTTTTTCTCTGCTTCATTCTGCTATAATATAGAAAATTTAAATTAATAGACTTATATTCCAAATTCAAATAAAGAATGTGTGATCTAAATACTAGGCCTATATATCAATTCTACTAGACCTACCTGTTATTTGAAGTTTTGCACCTATAGCCATCCATAAACATTGTTTA